GGCTGGACCAGGGGCAGCGCCACCGCCCGCGGATGGCCTTCCTCAAAAAGGTGAGGGCCGAATCGCGCCGAGGCAGCCCTGCCTGGCGCGGAGAAAACCGCGTTGTCCGCTCCTGTAGCTCGGTGCTGGGCGAGCTGTCCTGCCGCCGGGTTCCTTTTACTCTCTCTTTAGCGCCTCGAAGGCCCTAAAATGTTGCCATGAACTAGCAGGAGAAAAAAAAATCACCTGCTGCATTAGGCCCCCGACCTGCTGGGCTCCTGGGGACGGTTGGAGCTCCCAGGTGATGCTCGTTGTTCCCGAGGGAATGCGGCTATCGGCTCCCTCTTCCCGTTCTTGCCATGTTTGTGACTGGGAGCAGCTGAGTGAGTGGGAAGATGCACCCACGCTTTCGGGATGGGATGTGTAGTGTTGTAACGCCTTTGGGGTTTTTCTTTTTCCTATGATGTTCATTCAAAAAATGTAGCCAGTTTTAGCATAACTGATGGCTGCAGAGATATTTTTTTTTACAGCAGCGTAAGTAAGTGTTTCTTCCAGTGGCTTTTTCTGCCTGTGGCTTATTTTGTTGAGTGGAATTAGCTGGATTTCCAGAGGTGAGCACAGCAGCCTCAGAAGGGAAAACCTGGGGGCTGCGTGGCCCCAAAACATGCAATCGGTGCTGCAAACACAGGCACTTCTCGTGCTGCAGGGAGTAAAGAGGATGTTTTCTTTGGTGCCATGTCTTTGTAGGTAAATTTGGCTGGGGAGCCCTGCCGAGAGAAGTGCACTGGGCCAAATCCTGTGCTGGGTGAACACTCACTGGGGTGGCATGTGGGGGTGTGGAGGAGAAGCTCATGATCCTTGGGTGGGAAGAGCTCTTAAAGCAGCTGGTTGTTCTGGAGAAAATGGCTCACATGGGAACAGGGAGAGGGTTTGAGCAGTTACAGGCTTTGTGTGCTCCAGACCTGGGGGGGTGGGCTGGGGGTCGGTAGAAGGTCCTTGGCTCTTGTCTCCAGTATTTCCGCCCGATCCCATTTATCCCAGACAGTGGAGAAGCCCGGGATGGAGCCTTGGCTGTTGAATTGGTGCATTCTGCTTGGTTTTGGCCACATTTCGGAGAGCAGAGCGTGCCCTGAAGTACCAGGCACCTGTAACAGCTGCTGTGGGTGGTGGCAGCTGAGGAGCTTGGCACAGATCCCCTTAGCACCTTGCAGAATTAGACCCTTGAGGAGCTAAAATCCTGGAGAGAAGCTTTGCTAATTGCTTAAGCCTGTGCTCCTGCCTCGCCTCCAGCTGCCACGGGAGCTGGGATTTCCTGGGATGCAGCTGGTGCTTTTGTGCCTCCAGAGCTGGCAGGCTGCTCTATGCACCGGCTCTCCTGCTGGCCTGTGGCTTGTTCCCTTCCAGACTACCTTGGAAAGTGTGTCGGGGTGTAGGGGGAACCTCCCAAACAAGATGTCCGCGTCTCTCTGGACACTTTGTGGATGTTGTGCTGTGCTGGTGGCTGGGCACGGCTGCATTTGCTTTGCAGGTTCTATTAGGAGCTCCCGCTGGGGTGGTGAAGGTGGCACAGGGAGGGAAAAGGGGCATGCGGAAAGGTGGGATTGTTAAAATGCAGGCCTAGGAAACGAATTATCCTTTTGAGACAGGAAGTGGGATAAAAGGTTGTATCCCTACTGAGGAATAGGGAGGGAATATTGATCTTTGCAAACAGAATTCGGTAGCAAAGAGGATGGGATGCAGAACCAGGTAAATATTTATGATGGAGAAAGCTCCATGAGAACATGTTTAATTTTGGCACCAGGAGTGGGCCCCCTGTAAGGGGGAGGATATGTCTGTGTTGTATCTAACAGGGATCCCCCATCTGTGCTCCTGCCTCTCGCCTCTGTGTTACCGTGCAGACTCGGCACCTGGAGACTGATGTTTCTGTGCTGGAGGCACCCAGGGCAGCTCGCAAGCAACCAGCAGCACTGACCTGCCCTGGCAAAGGGCCCATGTTGGCTCTGCCGATGCCCAGGATTCCCACGTGCTGCTCTCGAGTTTGTAGAGCGCTGCTTTTTCCTGTAGTTTGCACATTTAGTCGTGCTTTGCACTTAACAAACTCAGTGGCTTCTTGCTGTTGGGGGGCAGTTTCGCTGTGGTCTGTGCGGTCGCCGCTGTGCAGAGATTGGGGCTGGTTTGCAAGGAGACCTCGGCGGGGTCGGCGCCTCGGGAGGGCTCCGTGTTTGGGGCTGCTGCCGTCCGCATTCGCTCTGAGCCTCTCCACCCCTGACCGCTGCAGGAAGCGGCGTCTAGCGCCGGGGAATTCAAAGCAGGCAGCGCTTCCCTGGCCAAAGCGTTGCCAGCCGAGTGAGCGCCCTGAGCAACACAGCAAGCGGTGTCTCGCGGTGATTAACCAGCCCTCCTGGGCCCCTGCTAGCAGGCAGGCTCTCATAGTGGTTCCCAATCTCCCATGATCCATAATAAGCAGGCCCTTCCCTTGGAAGAGCTGAGTTTGCAGCCAGAGCAGCAGGTAGCACCCGGGGGCAGCTCCCCGTTCACTCGTTTCTTTTCGCGTAAGTTATTTCTTGGACGATGCGAATGAGCCCAACAGGATGCGAAAGCAACAACAGTCTGGAGCTTGTCGCATGTTAGCAGAGAGCATCCTGTGCTGGGAGGCTCTGGTGGGCTCCCAATCTCTCAGTAATGATCCAGCTGCTGAATCCAGCAGGGAATGAGCGGCTGCCCTGTCCGTATGTGCCAGGCCTGGAAGCTCCGTGTGCTGCACGATGTGCAGCGACTGGAAGCTGCAGTCCTCACTGAACCTGGTAAGACTTGGGTCCTAAGTCGCCACAGTTCCTGTGGAAACAATATCCTTCCCTAGGCATGAGTGCCATCAAGTCACACCGGCTAAATCTACTGATCCTAGTTTAAAAAGCTGCTGCTGCTTCTGAAATGGATGTGAGGAGACAAAACTGGTCCTGTTGGAACAATTTGAACCATCTAGAAATAGAAGACAAAAGTGTGTTCTGCAAAACCGCTGTGTTCATGGTATGCAGCTGATCATAATGAGAAATCTCTCCAGGTGACAAGCAGGAGTGCTTCCCCAGGGGTCATTCTGCTCCTTTCTGTACCCAGGCCTTGGTCGGGTGGTACCTGTGGCTCCCAAGGGACGGGTCGTTCTCCCCTCCCTGGGGTCTGTGCTTCTTGGGCATCTCCAAGTGGCGTCTCGAGGGGAAGGGACTGGAGAGAAGGATGGTCGCTGCTCCCCACCTCGTGCTGCTGCTCTGCAGAGCCCTCCGAGAGGCTGCGTGGGGCTGCTGTGGCCCCTCCTGCCTCTGCTCTCTGCTCTAATGCAGCCTGTCCTAACACAGCCTTTGCCTGTCTGCCCTGCAGGTCGAAACCCTTGTGATGGAAATGCAGAATCCGGACACGGGCATCAAGACACACACTCAGAGGGTGATGATCACGAACATCCCACATGCTGTGACAGGTAAGAGCTTATCCTGGGGAAGGGACTAGCCAAAAAAGTTCTTAAAGAACAACTACATGTGGCCACCCTTGGGTTCTGGATATGCTCTGGAGCTCCTGTTCCCAATAACTGGCTGCCATGTATCCTTTGAAACACCTCCTCCCTTGATCACATTCTCACTTTTGTTTCATTTCACTTCTACTCTTTGCAGAAGGGACATGAGCATTGCTGGTCATGCACTTACAGCTGTCCCACCTGAGTTTAACTCATCTGGCCTTCCTTTGCCTTAGAGTATAGGGTAACAGAAGCTTCAGCTCCCAAACCTGTTGTGTTTTTCCTGGTGCTGGATCACAAATCAAGATAAATATTAAAATCCAATTAAACTGGGCAGAACAGAATCTTCCTTTTAACATTTTCTAGTAATAATCATTTTTTTTCTTCAAACTGCAGGAAAGAAGATAGATATTCAACCCACTTCTCTCCCTCTAAATGACAGTTTTTTCCTCCTTCAAACAGGCTAAGGAAAAGCCAGATGGGTAGCTGTGCTGTCCAGTGTTAGAGGAAGCTCCTGTTGCGCTCTGTCCTGTGCTTGTCTTTCTCAGGGCCCTGGTTCTGTTCCCTGTTCTCCAAACCCTCACGTAACCTCTCATGAGGGATCCTGCGTTGTAAATATTCACACAGACTGCAACAAAGTCCCGTCCTGTTCTGAGCTTTCTGCAACACTTTGATATTGTGAACAAGAGCTCCCACTGAAAGCAGTGAGCTTGCTCCAGGCAGCTGAGGAGGAGACTTGGCCAAATAGATTAATTCTTCCCGATGACATTGGCAAAGCCCCGTGGACCTTGGGTGTTGTTTGGACCTTTTTTTAAAAATTATTATCATTTTTTTTTCAATATATGTAAGCAAAGGCACTAAGATTGAGCTACTTGCCCATGGGCACACCCTGAGTCGGTGCGAGGGTAAGGAGAGCCTTGATGACACCTGAAGCTCATTCTCTGGAGCACGTTCTGTGTGGCACCATCCAGATGGGGCAGCAGCCTAGGGAGCTGTTGTGCAGCTGAAGCTGCTGGGACATCTGCAGAGGATCTGGCCTCACCGCCCCCAGTTCCTGCTGGACAGTTAAGGCAGAGAAGCTTCCCCTCTGCTTAAAATAGCACGCCAGCTAGTTTAGATGAAGGGGAACAAGTATTTGATGTCTGAGCACTATAAAATACCAGTTCCTGAAAGTCAGTAGATAGATGATACAGAGGGAAGATACCCATGAGTGCTTATCCTCCTTGTGTGCTCTCCACTTCCTTCTGGTTCCTCAACCAGTACTGCTGGGGCTTCCCTCTTGTGCAGGTCGTTCATGCTCATCAGCTTCTGATGATCATGTTAGGGTCTCTTTCCCCCTCAGTCATTATGAGACTCTAGACTATGGTATTGTTAGTGCTCCCCAAAATGTATATACACTGATTAGCATCTAGGTGTTGCGGATGAGCCTGATTAATGAAGGAACTGTGAAGACATTAGAGCAAATCAATTGGTGGGCGATAATCCACTGAAGAGGACTGAGCTCCTCAAGTTCAGGAAGACAGCTAGGTAAATTCCCTGTCAGGAAAATGACTCACGACTGAAAAGGCAAATAATTATCCATGTTTAATGTGCACCTTTTAGGGAAATGCTTACAGAGAGAGCTGTCTAGAAATAAGTGATGAGATAATCCTTTAATTTCGTCTATTTCAGGAAACAGGCAGGAGGATAAAAGCTCTGAGCCCCATTAGAAGGCTAAGGCTTTGCTCCAATGTCAAGAAAGGTTATCGCTTCATTTTGCAGTTGTAGGGGACATTTGAAGGAAGGGTCTGTTGATGTGGGACTGAGTGCCTTTTTTTTTTTTTTTTGGTGCCTGACTTTGTTTAAATGTTCTGGATGAACACTGTGAGACCACTGGAAGTTTATGCTGACTATGGGTTTGACTGGCTACATCACAAGAAATGGACTCGGAGATGTTTGTGAATGTAGAAATCTTGTTTCCTTTCAATATGTCCTGTTACTACCCCAACTTGGAGTAGAATTCTACCCCAATCTGAGTAGATCTAAGATTTAGATGCTGCTTCTACACTGAAAGTAGTGTCCTTAAAGGACTGGAAAAGATCAGTGCCTTTCTAAAAGCTGAGCTAACACCATGCTCTGTGAGTGTGGGGATGCTTTGCAGTGATTCTTTCCAAATATGATGGTGCAAAAGGAGGGCAGGGATCTTCCCTGGGAGTGTGAGCGGTTGCGTTGCTTAAGTCCTTTCTAAACCAATCATGAAAGCTTAAGCGAAGCTCAGGCCACACGTGGTCCCCTCAACGCTCGCTATGAACCGTCCCAGGTTGTTTGCCTTTGCCCTGCTCCCTCCTGATCAAAAGTTGATGCAGACTCAGTCAGGAGAAATGCTTGAAGAACAGCACGGCCAGCAGGGAACAGCAATGTAATTTCTCTCCTTTCTTTGCACAGTGCATTTGAGGATATGTCTGGAATGAGGGATCTGTGCATTTGCTAGGCTGCAGAGCAGTGTTGGGGTAAGAAGTGGAGGAATCCCACTTCAGCCCATGCATTGCATGTTTCTAAGTACCTGATAATTTATTTGCTTTACAGGTAATGATATACTGCAGTGGATTCTCCAGCGTTTGCAGATCACTGGAGAAGGTAGGTAGAATGTAAACAGGGAAGGCTTTTCAGCTTTCATCTCATAAAACTTAAAAGATCTCCATAAACAAACCCCCTTAGATGTGCTCTTGTGTTCTGAGCTCACTTCAGAACTCCACTGCAGTGTTTCTGTCCAATCACACCATCTTCCTCCTCCATTTCCAGAGGCACTGCACCTGGGAGACCTGTTTGTCAAGTATGGATACATCTATCCTCTGCAGGACCCAAAGAATCTTGCCCTTAAAGCAGATGGCAGCCTGTACAGGTTCCAAGTGAGTTGCACCTCATCTAAAGACATTGGCTGGAGCTAGTTTGAAAAGCAGAAAACTAGAGCAGTTCTACAGGAGCTGGAGTCATGAGGCTGAACTATGTAGCTGCTTATCCTTTGGCATGCAGAAGGATGGAAAAGGGGTCCACAGAGCCTGAGGCCAGTTTTACCACTCTGACATAGCTTACAAGCAAGCTGTGATGCTTCCTTTTACTAAATGAGTGTTTTTATTCAACTCTAAAGACCGTGATTTCTTCTAAATTGTTTTTCTTATTGGGTTTTAAAAAGTATCAAATGAAATCCTAGTAATAGATGATCTCTGGGTAATATCTAGGTGATAACAAGTACTCTCTGGGGAGACTGAATAATGAATACATAGAAAGCACAGTAATGGGTTATGGTCAAGTTCGTGTATGGACTGTTTCCCTTATGATGAGGAAATAAAGATAGGCTCACAGGAACTTCCAATGAGGAGTTTGATTCCCCTCCATTGCCAAGTGAGGTTCCAGCATCTCAGTCTAAATGCTCAGGCAGTAGTGAAGGGTTTTCCATTTTAGTTGCTTGCAGGGTGGAAGGAGATTTGACACCGATGCTCTAACGAACCCTGTTCTGCTCCAGCTGGCCCGGCTGCTCAGCTGTCTGTGCTTACCCACCAGCAGGACGTTGAGCTTCTGAGCATGCGAGAGAGAAAAGGATTCTTCTCTTTCCAATGTGGGTGTCTATAAGGATGAGTTCAAAGCTCCTGTGTGCTACCCAAGGACTTGTTTCTTTTGCAGACTCCCTATTTCTGGCCTGCACAGAGCTGGCCTGCTGATGACACAGACTATGGTGAGTGGGAGCATTATTCCTGTTCAGGAGGGGCAGCTCTGTCCTGCGTCTCTGTGTGTATAGTCCTGTACTGTGTTTGCTGTTCATGCCTTTCTGCTTTGTGTCCCCATGTGGCGACCAGCCTCTTGCATTTTCTATTATGTTATTTTTTTAAAGTAATGCAGAAAGGAGGGAGCACTCTGGATGTGACTGCCTTATCGTGACCCTGAGTAGATAAGGTGTTTAAGTCTCCATTTTCCACCAGGACCCAGCAGCCTGGAATCCATCTAAAATGCCCTACTGAGTAGGGAAGACTTTAAACACAAGCTTAGATTTCCCTGAGTAGCTGAGTATGTTCCTGGACCTTGGCCCAAGACTGTCTTTCTGCAGCTTGGATTGAGCCCTGCATTTAGAGATGGTTCTTTCTTTAAACAGTTTGTGGTTGCTGCAGTATCTTGTGACAGCTCTTCCATACTGATCTTTGCTGCCATTGTAATGCCTTTTATTATAGGGCTGGTCATGAAACTTGGGCCAAACAGCTTGATCTGCTCCTTCAGGCTGTGCTGTGCAGCTCAGATTGGTTTGTTTACGCCAAGACTATTCTGTGTGGCTTTTATCTGTGTTACATTGTAGATCTTCTGAAGAAAAACACTTTTCGATTGGAATGTTTTGAATAAAACTTGGAACAACACATTGGTCTGTACTTGGAAAGCTTATAGGAAGAACAGTAAAACCTCAAATCTTAAAGATTTGGCTCAATATCCCATGACCCTGGAAGCCCTGGCTTGGCTCCCAGAGGAGGGAGCTGCTGGTATAAGGGCCCATGTTGCTGCTTGTGCCATGTTCTAACCCCTGCCCTGGCTCAGTATCCATGACAGAAGGGAAGCACCAAGCTCATCTTCGATGAGCTTTTTGTGGGCCTGGAGCTCATGCCTGGGAAAATATCTTAATATCTATTAAGACCTGTGTAAACACAATCTTCGTCTATTAAGGTACTAAGACATTTTTATCTTTATATCTTAATAGACAAAGATTGTGTTTACAGGGGTCCTAGATGTGGATATTTCAATTTAAGGGTATGTTACTGCTTATTTGCTTTTTCTCACCCAGCAATTTACCTAGCGAAGAAGAATATTAAGAGGAAGGGGATTTTAGAAGAATATGAAAAGGTAAGGAGCTGTTATGCTTGTTCTGTTGCAGGCCCCTGCTTTGCTTTAGCTCTAGCCATCTGTTCCCATAGCTGGAGTGTGGCAAAGAAAATCAGTTTTCAATTGCTTGAAATGTTCCTCCAGTGGCCTCAAAGGCCAAAATTGTAACAGTGAAAAAGCAGCTGGTGCAGGAAGAGGATTCTCAAGTCAGTGATAATTTCAACAAGGGTAATTGCCCTCCTTGCAGTGGTATTTTTGAAATACTGTAGTTCATATAAATTATGGTGGGAACAAACTGCTTTTCCTAGCTCAGCTGCCAGCTCTCTCAAACTGTGGAGAGTCAAGAAAGTCCTAGGATGGGAGTGCTGTGTCCAGCATTCTCATACTAACTGCTTTTTTATTTTTATTTCAGGAACATTACAACATGCTCAATAAAAAAATAAACTACAAGTGGGATTTTGTTATTATGCAGGCCAAAGAGCAGTATAAGTGAGTTGACTCAGTTTCTGTTACTTGTGTCACTGGGGAGGTATGGGGAGGCAAAGCTTTCCTGTCCAGGTACGCACTGAAGGTACAGTTTAAAACATATATTGCAGTTTTAAAATAACTCACAAGTGCCCCTCAAGTCTAAAACAAACCTGGTTTTTGTATCAGCTTGGGGCCTCTCAGTTTAGGAGGGACATTTTGTTCACCCTACTTTTCCTGAGTGAAGAAACTTTGCTGGATGCTTCAAATTCACAGGGGGGTTAGTGGACATGAGATGGGATTATTCCTTTAGAGAAAGGATCTTTTCCCTTTTTTTAGATTCCTATTACCTTTTCTACTTTCCAGCATAGCACCTTTTGCTCTTGCTATGCAAGGACTGTTTATATCTTGCCCAGGATTGTAGTCAATGGGTCAGAATACAGCTCATCAGATAACTGTCTTGTTAATCATGAGGCTGTTGTTGTAAACTGAGGTCAGGCTTAGGCTAAGGGATGCCAAATACAATTTTAAAGATAGATAAGACTATGTATAAAATAGTAGATTAAACCTGTACGAGATCTTGCTGCTGAGGCTGCTTGTTGCGGAGCAGCCTGCGTCCGTGCAGACAAAGCAGAGCAGGGTGGCCACGTTTGAACAGCTTCTTGGGACTTGGCACGGGAAGGGACCATTCCCAAGTTGTGCCCAGGCCTTGTCTGGGGGAAGAATTAGTTGTTTCAGCCCAAACTTGTCTAGTGACTGTTCTGTTTAATAGTAGGGATTATTGAGATGATTGAGTTTTAGCTCCTGAGAACATTCCTGGCAGCAATTCGAGATCGTTTTTGCGAGGAAATACCACCCTTAACTGAAAGACAGGGATGACACATATAGAATATTTCTCTGCGTGGAAGTCCCAGACACTGGTCAGCAATATCTGAGGCCAATAAACATGAGGCAGCCCGACTGACCACAAGTAACGGGTTGTTAGCACGAAACTGCACCAAAGGGCTGTCTGTCTAATCAAAAGAGGATGTGTCTGCTCCCAGCTGGGCTCAGGAAGAAGAAAATTTCCCTAAAACTGAGAGGGGAGGGAAAGCAGTCATGTGTGCGCTTGTGAAGACCATAATTTGGAGTCTAGAATTAGATTCTATGTGGCTGTACGTGTAGCCTGTGTGAGGATGCCTTGCAATGAGCCCGGGGTCTGTGCAGCAGCGAAGGCTGGGGCTGTGTCACCTCCGTCATCATGCAGGTCTAGAGGGGTGAAGATTCACGAGTGCCCCTGCTCAAATGAACTCCCCTGCTTGCCTCTGCAGGGCAGGGAAGGAGCGGAAGAAGGCAGACAGGTACGCGCTGGACTGCCAGGAGAGAGCCTACTGGCTTGTGAACCGAACACCTGTAAGTCTGGGTGGCTGTACATGGTTTTAGTATCTCAGTGGTGCTACCAAGCCCCGGGGCTGATGAACCAACCGGCTTGGCGGCATTAATGCAAAGGAGCTTTGGGGGCAAGTTGTAGGTATAGACAGAGCGGGACGCGCTGTGGTGTGATCAGCTCTCCCAGATGGACACCTGGAGGCAACAGGAATCCTGAATCCACCCCACCTTTCTCCTTGGTTGCCCTCAAAAACACAAGGGAGGGAGATTTGGTCAAAGGCCTCAATTGAGAATACTGTGAGGTGGCAGAAAAGAATGACGACCAACAGCCCTTCTAGGTCTGAGGTTCCCCTTGGCTTTAACGTGTCCTATTGGCTTCAAAACAACTGAGCTACAAAGCTGCTGTTGTTTCTTGTTTATGACAGCCTGGCATGCAAGATGTCCTAGAGTACGGAATAGACCGAGTAACGGATCCTAATGAAAATAAGGTAAACCAGGTGAGGCAGCATTTTTGTCATATCTATGGACTTGACTTGGGAAGATGCAGATGTGGCCCTATGACTGTGTTTTTGGGGGCATTGAAGGCTGAGCAAGTCAGCTCAGCTCTGATGGCTGAATGGGCCAGGAGTTGGAGCTATCTTGCTGTCCTGGGGCTGTGGCCAGCAAAGCAGCATTTGGCAATTTCAGGTTGTGTGTGTGTGTGCAATTACAGGACACGTTCTGTGCTGGTGAAACTGAGTTAAGGCAATTTTACCTTCAGCTGCTTGTTGATGCTTTTTCTGTTAGTGCCAAATTAACCATGGGGTTGTGGGATATAAAGGATCAGAGGAAAGATCCAGGTTTATAAAAAAGACCTCCAAAAGGGGAATAAGCAGGAAGATGATGAAGTTGGGGTAGTGTAACATAGTTTGTCCCTTATGCATAAGAATAAATATTGTGTATCTCCACGTCCTGAAGAAAAAACATTACTGACCTGAGACTGAAAACTGATTCAGATTCAGAGTCCACAGTGCAACAAATGCAGTCAGTGGCTGGAGAATTGGTGCCAACCTTCCCTTTCTTCATCAGTCCTTTTAAGTGGTCCTGTATTTGTGCACTTCATAACATTCGCTTGGAAGTGAAGTCAAAGTGTGTTGTGGCAATTAAATGCAAATGTTACTGCGATCAAACGCGCTGTCTTCCCACAACTTCTCATTTTTGTTGCAGTCTTTAAGCATCTCAACAGGCAGAGGCTGGATAATTGCTTTGGCCAATTGTGTTCTGTTGCCATAGAGACTAAAAGCGAGCAAAATGCTAGGGTTGGGGATATTTTATTTCTTTGTACTGTAACTTTTAGCTGCTGGAATGCTTCCCCCCTCAGAGTGGAATTGAAAGAGTGGAGGAGAGAAAGGGAGACTGAAAGCGTCGGCTGGCTTCCCGTTCTGCCCACAGTTTACAGCTGACATGGCAGGAGATTTGGGGTTTGCAAACTTTCTGAAAGCCTCCTGCCAACTGACAGCTGCTTGGAGCCCAGCTGAAGTGAGGGGATGGGTTCAATTCCCACCCTGGACATGAAAGGCCCCCCACACCTCACACTTAGGTAGAGATCCCAAGAAGTGCTGAGGACCTGAGCCGAGGACACCAAGCTTGAGGTGACTTCAGTGCCCTTCTCCTTTAAGTTGGTCTCTGAGCTGCCTTTCCTCTGTGGAGACTGAGCAGGAAAGGGAAGGTGGTTCTTGCTCCTTTTTCTGCAAATCCCCCATGGAGCTGCCCCAGCTTTCCCAGGCCTGGCTCCCTGGTGGGCTGACTGTGCACACTCGGGCTCTATCAGGAAAGGATCCTTGGTGCAGGACGTATGTTCCGAGGAGCTTTCCATGTGGGCAGGCATAGGGTTAGCTTTATTTA